GGCCCAGCTGGAGATCCTGATTCCAGAGGTAGAAGGTAGTGGCCAGGCAAGAACTTGACATCCTCCCTTAATTCCCGTCACCTACCTAGTATGCACTCCTGATCTGGGGTGCCACCCCCAATTTATAGCTGTGAGTGCGTGGGCTGGTTCACACATGCCATTAGTCATGCATTTATGTTGGGAGGTGTGTAGTGGGCACCTGCCAACATAAAGGTTGCCTGGAATAAAGGTTAGGAAGGTGTGTAGGCTCACTGTGCTTGGATATAGGTGGAAGGATGATGGCAAATGTGAAAGGCAGGTGTGGGAAAAGTATGGGTCTTTGTTAAGGAGGTATGTTTTATGCCTGTCAGGAAGAAGTGTGTAATGCTAAAGGAGTTCCATGTGTTTAGACAGAAATAGTGGGTGTAAAGTAATATCACATATAGCCCCAGGAAGCAATTGTATACACAGCAGTCAAGTATTGATTTCTAGCCCAATTGTGGGGCTGTCCACTTATTTACATCCCTACACCATCTTGGTTGAGAAATGCCCTTAGGTGTTCCTTGTTTGGTGTCTGTGTAAGAATTGTCCCAGCTTTTCTTAAGATGCTGTTCATGTAGGGGTGGGGGTTGTTTTGTTTTGGTTTGGTTTTTTTAGAGTTCAGCTTTTTATTGAATGTGTTACAAAAGAGATTTAGTCAAAAAGACCAAAGCCCATGTCATCATCAGACTCCTCAGATTCTTCTTTCTTTGCTTCCACTTTCTTTTCTTCAGCTGGGGCCACATCAGTTGAGGGGGCAGGACCTCCTGCTGATGCAGCACTACTGCTGGGGCTGGTCCACCAGCCCCTACATTGCAGATTAGGGTACCAGAGCCTTTGCAAACAAGCCTGGCCAGAAAGGTTCAACATTTACACCAGCTGCTTTAATGAGGGCATGGACCTTATCCTTCATCACTGTCACCTCAGCGTTGTGCAGGATAAGGGCTGAGTAGATGCAGGCAAACTCCAAGACAGAGGCCATGATGTGGGCAAATGCTGGGTGAGTGCTGCCAGGAGTGGGGCTGTTACAGAACAGGCCCAAGGGGGCGGTGTACCATATACTATTACCGAAAGGACCACCCCACTAGGTTTGCTATGCTTGCCGCCAGAGGAAAGACATCTCTCAATGCCAGAGATTTGTGAAAAGGAAAGGAAATGTTTTTAAAGCTATACAGACTTAAAGTAGTGACCTAATGTCTTCATTAAAATATTAAAGTCCTTTAGGATACCCACAGATGCACATAGTCCTTCCTTCTCCCTCTGCCCTAATCTGGGATACTGTATCTCAGGAAAAAGGAGTAGAAGTCCATGATTCAGACTCCTGATACCAACAGCTGTGTCACCGCCAGGATCTCCAGTTAATCCAGAGCCATGTGGCACCTTCTTATGGCCCACCAGCAAGAGTCCTTTCACCTCCTTTCTTCCAGGCAAAGTCTCTCCTGCTTCCTAAGCCACATGGCAAAAGGGAGCACCCCAAAGCCACGTGGTCCTCACTCTCGCCAAACCTGCCGGGGGTCCCCACTCTGCCAAAGCCTCATGGTTCTCTCCTCGCATTAACAAGTCTGGGTTTAAATCCCCATGCCAACCTTCCTCTGCACCCCCATTTCCAACTCCTCCTACAATCAGTTACACCCGCCAGCATTCCTGTATTATTCCAGGCTTACTGGGCTGCCATCGTGAGTCTGGGCAGGTGTGGCCCCATGGCATGGAACCAATCTTCTCCAAGCTCTCACACAGGCACTGTAACCAGGGGGAGTTGCCCCCCAGTTACATCTTGGGTGGAAGTCACTTCCATCCCCCTGGCTCAAAGCATGGCCACAGCTATTTAACATATTTATGCAACCAGTTAAAGGTTGTAGATATGTTAAATGACCATGCCAGAGATTAGCTGCAGAGCCCATGCTGTACAAAATAGCTCTGCATGTTCCTGCTCCATGTGTCCCTTCCCCCAACTCACACCTGTGGTGGGGAGGGCATCCTATATATCTTTCTAATAGTTCTGGACACCTTGAGTTCTGGACCCCATTCCAAATCCCTATTTGGGGCCCCCCTCTTGGCTGCAATCTGTTACAGGGCTAGTTGCCAGATGAAGTATGGGCCTCATCCCAACACAGACTTAGCTTCCTCAGAAGGACTGAGCACCTTAGTAGCAGCTGAGGAAAGGGTCAATGTAGAGAGTTTGAAGGAATGTATCTATTTCTCAAAAACTTGGAGTGATCCAACAAGTGCGTGTGTTTTCAGTTCTGCATTTTCATCTTTCATTTATCAAGATTATTGAGCCCTGGCTGGTGTAGCTCAGTGGCCTGAATGCCAGCTTGCAAACCAAAGGGTTGCCAGTTCGATTCCCAGTCAGGGCATATGCCTGGGTTGTGGGCCAAGTCCCCAGTAGGGGGTATGCAAGAGGCAACCACACATTGATGTTTCTCTCCCTCTCTTTCCCCCTCCCTTCCCCTCTCTCTAGAAATAAATAAATAAAATCTTTTTTAAAAAGGTTCTTGAGCAACTACTACGTGCAAGGCACTGTGCTGCATTCTATGACAAACACAAAGACATGTGACATAGTCTCTAACGGGAGACTTCTGACATATACTCACCATGTCCCAAGGTATCCTAGGATCTACTATAAAGATCTGAGCCTGACATTTCAAATCTTTGGAGTCACCTTTGCTCCCTTTATTCTCCGCTGTCAGCACCCCCACTCTTCCTGCTCCATGACACTAATGAGACCCATCTTAACTGTTACATTCTTGTGATTTCATGCTAGAAATGTCTCTTAGAGCCACCTCTCCTCTTGGTCCCTCTGCCATGGCCCATTTCAAGCCCTAATTACCTTCTACCTGCACTTCTGTAACAGCCTCCAGCCCAGTCTCAGCACGCAGAACATGCTCCTCACCTTGCTCAGTTCCCAGCTTTAACTGTCTTCTTGTTATGTCACCCTATGCCCCACAAGCTCCACAGTCTGGTCACACCCAGATTCCTGACCTGGCAGCTAAGCTGTCCCCACTCTGCCCAACTGCTTCCCAGCCCTTGTGACTTCCCATTAGTCCCTTATAGGAACTTAGGCCAGGATTGTTTTCTTTGTGGTTCCCCAAACACATGCTGTATTTTTCCAGCTCAAGGCTGACTCTATTCTCTTTCTCACAGTCATCTTCCACATCTGACTTTGTGGTAGCCCACCCTCTATTCAAGGTCATCTCACATGCCATTCTTCCAGGAAGCCTGGACTGATTGTGAACACTAGTGAATACCAGCTGTAAAAAAAAAAGATTTTATTTATTTATTTATTTATGGGAAAGGGATGGAGAGAGAGAGGAAGAGAAACATCAGTGTGAAAGAGAAACATTGATCAGCTGTCTCCCATAAGCACCCCACCAGAACCCGCAATCCAGTCATGTGCCCTAACCAGGAATTGAACTGGCAATCTTTCACTTTCTGGGACAGCACCCAACCAGCTGAGCCCCACCAGTCAGGACTGAACACTAGCTTTCGGGGGTTCCCTTACATCTGCTTCCATTTTCTTAGGACCCTCAAGGAGTTCTTCTGGGCAGGCCCAACCTGAGGTATCCACTGTATCTGGCTTGCCTCACTCCACAGTACACACACTGAAACTAGCCTCAGTGCTCTCAACAGTACCTTTAACAGTGTGCCTGGCGCCAGTGAATACCCAGTGAATGTGTCCATGAGCAGCTGTCTCTAAGGCACTTATGAAAATGTGTCAATTCTTTCTTGAGTTATTACCACTACCACACATTTGCATACTTTAAAATGTTCTTCACGTGAATTTTATTTGATCCACGGACTAAGGGGCAAATCTGGAAGACTGCTAACCACCTACCTTTGTATTTAGTGATCTTCTGCCCTAGCTTCATACGAACATCCAAGTAGGTAAGTGCTGGGTTGTCCCTGTGTAGCCTTCACCTTTGCTCTGTGGCGTGTGTGTGTGTAATGTGCATGTTGAAGGAGGCAGAATATGCCACCTCAAAATGTGCCACTTTGCATGTGTTTTGCTTTGAACTGAAGGCCAGCAAGACCCAGCAGACACAGGAAAAGTTTTTGATCTCTCCCTAAACTGTCTAAAGGAATTTATTAGGGGCCTGTACCAGGAAGAGAGCTATTACCAGAGAGGACCTTTTTATCTGAAAGACTTGCCTGCTCGTCAGTGCAAACATCTGACTGCCAAGCATCTGCTCTTCCCATCTCCTGTGCGTTGCCCTGCTCCCCAGTGAACCCGCAGCTCCCACTCCTTAGGACAGCACAGAAGCCTCAGTCACTTGAGCACCTTTGAGTCTCAGGTCTTCATGGGCTCCAGTTAAGTATGTAATTAAATTTGTTTTTCTCCTGTTAATGTCTTACATCAATTCAATGATGAGACCAACCAAAGGATCTAGAAGGAAGAAAGGAAAATTTTTCCACCCCTCCAGCATGGGGTGTGTGTGTGTGTGTGTGTGTGTGTGTGTGTGTGAATGTTTGTATGTGTGTTTCCTGTATGCTCACACCAGCAGGGCTGGGTCTATGTGAGCTGAGTTCATTTTTTCTTCCTGTACTTGGCTATTTCCATTACGATTTCCCTCTTGGGGTGTGTGTTTTCTATGTGTATCCACAAGTCTGTGAAGATATGTGTGTAACTGTGGTTCCTTGACTTTGCTGGGTCAGTATTCTAGCAGGGTAGCCAGACTTCCTTATGTATATCCTGCTGCCTCCCCAGAGATGAGGAGGCTGTGGCTGAACCATCTCCTAAAGCTGTCTGTGGGCCCTTTTCCAGCTGCCACATGTCCCGACATGTGCCTGTAGCTCGGGATCTTGCCCCAACTCCGCTCACAACTCACACACAATACAAACTTGAGCAACTACAGCTGCAAGGGCCTTGGAAGTCTCCACCCCCCTCCCTTTGCTTAATCGTCGGAATTTCCAGCTGGCTACTGCCCAGCGCTCCCAGCCGGGTGGAGTTGAGAAGGGCCCGCCCACTCCTGAGCTGCACTTAAACTAGTTCTGGGAGGCTGCGGGGCCGCATTCGTCATTGCTTTCCGCTCGGCTGCCATGTGTCACTCTCGCAGTTCCCTCCCCACCATGACCATCTTGCGGGCCCCGACCCCAGTACCCTCCAAGAGCCCAGGACCCCGGCGGGGCTCCGGTCCTGAGATCTTCACGTTTGACCCTCTCCCGGAGCCGGCAGTGGCCCCTGCCGCGCGCACCAGCGCCTCCCGCGGACACCGAAAGCGGAGCCGTAGGGTCCTCTACCCACGACTGGTGAGTGTCCCGAAGTGGGTGGCTGGGGGGAGTGACGGGGGGATGGCCAGGCGTCGGGGTCCCGAGTGACCTGTTCCTTTGCTGTTTCCGCTCAGGTCCGGCGCCAGCTGCCCGTCGAGGACCCGAATCCTGCCAAAAGGCTCCTTTTTCTCCTGCTCACCATCGTCTTCTGCCAGATCCTGATGGCTGAAGAAGGTGTGCCGGCGCCCTTGGCCCCAGAGGACGCCCCCAGCGCTGCGTCCCCCGCGCCCACCCCTGCGCCCCCCGCCCTCGAGCCACTTAATCTGACCGCAGAGCCCTCGGACTACTCTCTGGACCTCAACACTTTTCTCCAGCAACAACCAGCCGCCTTCTAACCGTGACTTTCCGCACTCCCCAACAAGAATCTGAAAAAGCAAGGAAACACCAGGCGTATCTGGTGTTCGAGAGAGTATCCCAAACTGGGACTCACGAGGCAACTCGCACTCAACACTGCAGGGGAGCCGCCACGCACACGCCAGGCAAGGCCCGGCGGGGAAGAAGGGCGGCGTTAACTTAAGTCTCATTGCTCCTAATTAATATTTATGTGTATTTATGTCTGTCCCCTAGGTGACAGGGGAATGGGTTAATATTTATTTAACTTATACGAGGGTGCGAGACGTGCCCGTTGCTGCACATGCAGGTCTCTATATTGAGCTTGGTGGGACTGACGCTCGGCGCCCTGGCGGTGGGTGGTGGGTTTAGGGGTGACACTCTCCGTCCTCCAGCATCTGAACCCCCTGGGACTCCTCCGTGAGGCTTCGGCGGACCGTTGGTTATAAGGTCCTTGGCTTTCGGTCTCCTCGAAGTTGTCCCCAAGGAGTGGCTACGTGGTGAGGGGTCGGGGCTGTTAGAGGGCGGCTGTGGGGTCGCCCGTATGTTCTGTGAACACAAATAAACTCGATTTACTGTCGGCAGTCGTTTGAGTGTGTCTTTGCTGACGGCGATTCCCCTCCCCCGGCGCCAGAGACCAGCGGCCACGGCCCCTCCCCGGCCACCGCAGCCAGCATCCGGCGAGCGGGGGCACACTTTGGTTTCCCAGTCTGAGGCTTTTCCGGGAGTACCCGCGGGGCACAGCCGAAAGGAGGCAACGTCCCCGCCCGGGGCTTCTGGCTCACGGAGGGCACGTCACAGCGCGCGCGCCCGGGGCGGAGCAGGAAGCTGCCGGGCGGCGCGAGTGTGAGGAAGCCGAACCCAGCGCGGACGGGGAAGCCGGGGGACTGGGAAGCCGGGGGGCGGGGGGCGGGGCGGGGCGGGGCGGGGGGCGGGCTGAAGGGCCTGCTGGGAGTGAGGGGCGGGCCCAGCGCAGCCCGCGTGAGGTCACCGCTAGGGGCGGGGTCGCGTTGCCCCCGCCCTAGGGTGGGGCTGGGTCGGAGAGGGCGCGTTGGGCTGGGGGGGCGGGCAGCGAGTCCGGCTTCTAGCGGGGTCGTGGGTGGTGCGTGAGTGGCCGGGGCTTCGTTCCCAGGCTCCCCCACCACCGCCCTCATCCGAGAAGGTAGGAGGGGGATAGAAGATGGAGTCGGGTTGCGGAGGAGCGAGGAGGGTGGTGCGAGCTCTGGTGGCCTTTAGGCGCGGGAGAGCTTTATCAGATCGGGGGAAACCTTGCTCAGCTGGAGGTGGGAACGCAGGCAGTGGCTGTAAGCAGACAAGAGGGGGTCGCTGGGGGTCTGCAGGATTTCACAGGGGAAAGGCTTAGCAGACTCTGCAGAGGGCCTGGGCGGTGGTGGCTGCAGGATGGGCGGGACTGACGGGAAAAGGGAACAGTTATTCCGGTGGACTCCACAGCGCCCCAGCCCCCTCCGCAAAGGCTTTCTTTCCTCTCCTCCAGCTCCCGCTTGAGCCATGTTTTTCACCTGTGGCCCAAATGAGGCCATGGTGGTCTCCGGTAAGTATACTTCTGTTCTTAGACCCCCAAACACCTGCAAGCCTGGCCTCCGCCCTTACCCGCCTCCTTACCAGCTCTGCAGTGCTAATACCTCGCTCTACCAACCCGGGGCTGCAAGGTTGTGGTTTCCAGACGCTCCCCTTGTCAGGCCCAGGCTGCTTCCCCTCCAGCTCCCAGATTCTCATGGGAATTGACCCCCGTTCTTCTCCCAGTTCTATAGTCTTCCACATTCCAAAACTCCACCCCCGCCACCACAGCTCACTGGACCCTTCATCTTTCAGGTTTCTGCCGGAGCCCCCCAGTCATGGTGGCTGGGGGTCGAGTGTTTGTCCTGCCTTGCATCCAGCAGATTCAGAGGTGGGCAAGAAGAGAGCCAGGGAAGGGGACCCTAGTTTGCTCTCTTATCTCCTTTTCTCACTGTCCACCCTTCTTTTGCCCTGTAGGATCTCTCTCAACACATTGACCCTCAATGTCAAGAGTGAAAAGGTTTACACTCGCCATGGGGTCCCCATCTCAGTCACTGGCATTGCCCAGGTGAGGCTTTTAGAGCCTTTTCCCCAGAGTTCACTCCCGTATCATCTTCTCTGGCCCCAGACTTTAGGGATCTTGTGACCCTACCCTTCCCAGCCTCAACTTGGGGAGAAATTCTCTTTGTAGTCTCACCTTCTCCCAGGCACTTGGCTCCTCCTCTCTTGTCTCCCTGCTTCCTCCCTGGCTTCCTGAGACCTCCACCTAACTCTTCCCCACCCTTCTTCTGGCTACAGGTGAAAATCCAGGGGCAGAACAAAGAAATGTTGGCAGCCGCCTGCCAGATGTTCCTGGGGAAGACTGAGGCTGAGATTGCCCAAATTGCACTGGAGACACTGGAGGGCCACCAGAGGGCTATCATGGCCCACATGACTGTGGAGGTGGGCCTGATGGCAGGGAAACATCTTGAAGGGATTCCAGAGGGGGGCCTAAGGACTGAACTAGTCTGTGGGAGACAGTGGCCAGAGGATTTGAGAGCTTACGTTCCTCCTTCCCACCATCCCATGGTCCTAGGAAATCTATAAGGACCGGCAGAAATTCTCAGAGCAGGTTTTCAAAGTGGCCTCCTCAGACCTCGTGAACATGGGCATCAGTGTGGTCAGCTACACCCTGAAAGACATTCACGATGATCAGGTAAACCTAGTCAGTTGATCCCCTCTGTTTACCTGCTCCCTTCTCTTAAACCTCCCAAGGACTCTGATTTCTACATCCCTCCCACAGGACTATTTGCACTCGTTGGGAAAGGCTCGAACTGCGCAAGTCCAGAAAGATGCTCGGATTGGGGAAGCGGAGGCCAAGAGAGATGCTGGAATTCGAGTGAGAGAGATAGGGGGTCACTTAGACACTGTGGACTTATTGGGCACTTGGTGGGAGGGGTACAACTGACTTGGGGCTGGTGGAAATGGGTTGGGAGAAGAAACAGATGAGACCAGGGCTGGGGCAAAGGCAGAGAAGCCTGGTGTAGAACAGGCTATCACCCTGGGGCCTTTACCTCCCGGTTCTGACTCCCTACCTGATCTCTGTATGGACAGGAGGCCAAAGCCAAGCAGGAGAAGGTGTCTGCTCAATACCTGAGTGAGATTGAGATGGCCAAAGCACAGAGGGACTATGAGCTGAAGAAGGCCGCATACGACATTGAGGTCAACACCCGCCGGGCACAGGCAGACCTGGCCTATCAGCTTCAGGTCAGAGCTACCACACTGGGCAGATAGCTAGGCTGCACCTTGCCTCTGCACCATTCCTCTCAGGCTCCCACTCTCTCATATTCTAACTCTGATCCCCATATCTTACTCTCCATTTCTGACTGAACTCCTCCATATGAGGAAGGTTTAAAAGACAAACATTTCAGCTGAAGAGCAAACAAAAGGTCAAGAACTTATATGATCAGGAGGGCTGGTCATGTGTTTGGAGTAGGTTGTGCCCTGTGCAGTGGCACCTGGATGGGCAGGTGAACCAGAGCTGAGGTTCAGCCCATGTCCCACTTGGCAAACTATGCATTCTGACATGAGCCAGTGGGTCTGCATCCACCCAGAGGAAGAGGTGCCTTTTACTTGTTTGCACAAGGCAGCCCTGGTGATTGAAGAAAGGTGTGAGGAAGAAAACGGAGTTGGGCTTTGAATCCTGAAAAGTAAGCTAAGGGCAGCCCTGGGTATTGCAAGGAGATACAGTCAATCGTCATTACTTGCAGATTCCATATTGAAAATGTGCCTAATCACTAAAATTTATTGGTAGCTCCAAAGTCAGTACTTGTAGCACTTTTGTGGTCATTTGCAGACATGCACAGAGAGGTGAAAATCTGAGCTGCCTGCTGCCCAGTTCCCACTTGATGTTGAACAAAATGTTCTGCCTTCTTTCAACTGTTATACTGTAGACAGTGTTGTCTTCATAGTACATTCCTGCTACGTTTTTCACATTTTTGTTTTCTTTGCTGGTGATTTCACATCTGTGAAGTGCCTACTATGTGCTAGACACTGTTTAGGAAGAGAGGATGTAAGTTATGAGAGACACAAAAGATTCCTTCTTTTGTTGAGTTTACATTATAACACAGAACACAGCAAACAAGCAAGTCAGTGAACTTCACAAGTACCTCATATAAGTGCAATGAAGGAAATACACAGGGACATGAAAGCGATGGGGGGTGCTAGGTTAGGTCAGAGGTGGTCAGAGAAAGCTGTGAGCAAATATGGGAAATAGAACCTGAAGACAAGAAAGAACCGGCAATGTAAAGAGTTGTGGGGTAAGAATATTCTAAACCAGGAATGTTCAAATAGAAGTTCTAGTGATGGAGATGTTCTGTACTTTGCTGTAATGTTGAGCATTTGAAATGTGGCTAGTGAAATTGTGATTGAGGAACTAAATTTTAAATCTTATTTAATATTAAATAATTTAAATTTAAATAGCCATATGTGGCTAGTGGCTAGGAGGGGGACCAGCACGTGCAAAGGCCCTATGGTAGGAAAGAGCTTGACGTGTCCCAGAAACAGAAAGGAGGTTTATGGTCTGGTATGGTTAGCATGCTGTAGGAAGGAGAGGCAGCAAGGCCAGGTCACATAGAGTTCAGGTAGCCATGATAGAGACTTAGAAGAGAATTCAAAGTACAATGGAAAGCCATTAGAGAACTTTAAGCAGGGAGGTGTTGTGGTCCAATTTATGTTTTTACAAGGATCAGTCTGGCTGCTGTGTGGAGAACTGATTTCAGAGAAGGGCAGCAGAGAGACAAGTTGGAAGCTTTTTCAAAGATGATGGATTGAGTAAATGCAGCTAAAACCTCATTAAAACTACATAGAGTATAATTTAAAAGAGAGATTGAGAGAATGAGAACAGAAGGCATAGGAACCATAGCATCACTTTGAAAGCTGGAAAGCTGTGGTAATTGACTAAGCATGTCTAAGACAGCTGAAAACAAAGGTGTCAAGGAGAAAACAGTGGCATGATCTGACATTCAGGAGCTGGCACATAATTGGTTCTGGAGCTGTGATGAAGACCGTTGGAGTCAGGAAAAACAGGTGAAGCATGACTTCTCAGTTATATTCTGTTGCTGGCTCCCTGCCTCTGGATCTCTTCTCTGCCCCAGTGTTACCAAACCCAATCAGTGTGTGTGTGTGTATGGCAGGGGCATCCTGCCATTCACCGGCTATCGGGCAAAACTCCAAAGACAGAGTTTGGTGGAAAAGAAAGAACTTTTTTATTTAACAATCAAAAAAGGCTATTTAAATATTTATCATTACAACTACTACATAGATTCAAGAACTGAAAATAATGCAAGAACAAAAATGTGTAACTGAATAAGGCACATAGACTTTGGTCTAAGACACCCCAAGAAAAATCACCCTGTAACCCTCTGCTAGCTCAGTTCAAGGTGCGCCAGGGAACTTCTTCTCCCACCCAAAACTATTATAAAAATAGTTGGCTTAGCTGCTCTCCAGTCAGTGTCTAGCTTCAGTCATCTTTCACTCTGTGCCTCCAGGTCTTTTACTTCAGGTGCATTGTGCTCTTCCTAC